CGGCAGATCATGGACGGTGGGTCCCGCCTCTGAGCCACACCCGCCCCGTCCGCGGGGCGAAGGGTCCAAAGACGCGCCTGAGCCCTGCCCCTCCTCCCTCCGCCGGTAGATTACAACCTGGCCGTCCCCCAGCACCTGGAGGAGCTCTATGAGGTGTACCTGCGGGAGCTGGAGGAGGGCAGCCTGGAGCGGGCCGCCATCATGGACCGCGTGGCCTCCAGGGCCCTGCAGGTGGGCGCCTGGCATGTTCTGGGGAGGGGGGGGCTGATGCCCAAGGCAATGGCGGGGGACCAGGCTGGCTGATACCCCAGGAAGCTGCTCCCCTTTCCTTATCCCGCCCAAAGCCTTGCCACTGGGGATGCCCAACAGCCACAGCTTTCCGTGGGGACCCAGAGCACTGCCCTCGGGGGCTCCCAGCCCGCATTCCAGCCCTGGTCTTCTGTGCTGTTGTCTGGTCCAAGGCCACGTCTTCTGACTGTCCATCCCTGCCCTCTCCCCAGGACAGCTCCTTGCCCAAAATTGTCCCAGCAGGAACCATGCTGACCCCCGAGGCTGACCTGGAGAGCGTGAAGACGCTGAGCTCTGAGGCCCAGCGCCTGCAGCACAGCATCCTCCCTCCCCTCAGCACAGAGAGGTGAGCCCGGGACACGTCCCAGCAGCCCTGCCTGCCCGCCACCGCGGGATGCCCGCCCGGGAGATGGGCCAGGAGCCACGGGGAGGAGGTGGTGCAGGTCTGGAGCGAGGGCTCCCGGGTTCTCTCCCTTCATGCAAACAGCTCTCCCCTGACTCGGGGGTGGGCCCTCTGTGGGACCAGCTTGGTCATCAGATGCCCACCCTCTTCTGCCAACCTCAGTGAAGCCAACCATGTGTTCAAGACCAGTCCCCGGGCCTGGCAGGTGAAAAGCTCCTCTGTGCCCACCCCACCCCCCATCCAGATCGGCCACCTGGTGACCCAGGAGGTGAGCACTGAGCACCTTCGCCCTACAGGCCCCTCCGCTGAGGGTGGGGCACAAGGGCGGACGCCCAGCGGTTGGGATGGAGCCTTTCCGAAGCGGCCGCCACCCCTGAGGCCCCGCTGTCTCTGCTGAATGGGGCGTGGGGTCTCTGCTGGGGTCAACGCCTTTGTCCTCCCGACCACCTTGTCCGCAGGCCCCCACTCAGGACAGCCTGGCCAGCCTGAGCAGCCGCATCAACTCCTCCCCTGACAGCAGCGAGAACCTGTCAGAGATCCCCTTGTCCCACAAAGGTGTGCCCCCCGCTGAGCCTGGCATCACCGCCACTGCTCAGCTCGCCCAGCTGAGCGCCCTGGCCCGCCCTCTGCTCTGCTGAAGCTGCTGCCCATTCTAGGAAGGAGACACCAATGCCCCAGAGCCGTGGTCAGCAAACCGGGGCTCGAGAGCCACATGCGGCTCTTTGGCCACTTGAGTGTGGGTCTCCCACAAAATACCGCCACACTCAAGGGGCCGAAGAGCCACATGTGGCTCTCGAGCTGCGGTTTGCCGAGCCGCAGTTTGCCAATCACTGCCCCAGAGGGTTGCCCGCCAAGGACACACAGGGCCGGGGGCACAGTGAGAAGTCAGACGGGGAACATATGCCCCCCCCCCCACTCAGTGATAACTGCAAGTACAGATGGGATCCATGCCCATTGTCTCAGTTAATGCTCGCAGTCACCCGGTGGGGTTCGTCTTACCACCTCCAGTTTACAGATGAAAGGGAGGCTCAGAAATGTGCCCCAGGCTTCTTAAATGGCAAGCAGGTGGGGGTGCTGGGAGTGAAACCCAGACATTCTGGCTCCTACCCAGGCCGGGGGTGGGAGGGGGGGCGTGTTGGAGGTGCAGGAGGGAGAGGAATGCGAGGCCTTGATCCCGGGTGGGCGCTCCCTCTGTCCCGCTGCAGAGAGAAAGGAGATTCTGACCAGCACCAAGTGCATCTCGGTGAAGGCTGCCCGGAGGCGCTCCAGGGCCCTGGGAGCCGAGGGGCGCCACCTGCTGGCACCGGCCATGGAGCGCAGCACCCTGTCCCTGCACTCGCTGAGAGCCCACTGGCCTGCAAGCGGCCTCCCAGCCCCACGCTGCAGCACGCTGCCAGCGAGGACAACCTGTCCAGCAGCACGGGCGAGGCCCCACCCCCGGCGGTCGGGCATCGAGGGGAAGGCCCTGGGCCCTGGCTGCGGGCCCAGAAGAAAGGCCTGGGCAAGAAACAGGAGGAGTCGCTGGAGGCAAAGAGGAGGAAGCGGAGGTCCCGGTCTTTTGAGGTCACGGGGCAAAGGGTGAGGCCAGGAGTGGGGTGTCTGGGCTCCTTCCTCGTGGGTGGGGGCCTGAGGGCTGGGTTCCTCCAGAGGCTCGGGGCATCTGCACTGCCCTCCAGGCCTCTGTCCCCAGGCTGGCCCATAGCTGGGGGCAGATCCCTGTGGCACAGCGGTTCTCAACCTGTGGGTCGTGACCCCTTTGGCGGTCGAATGACCCTTTCACAGGGGTCGCCTAAGACCATCCTGAGTATCAGATATTTACATGACGCTTCATAACAGTAGCAACATTACAGTTATGAAGTAGCAACGAAAATAATTTTATGGTTGGGTCACAACACGAGGATCTGTATTTAAAGGGCCAGAAGGTTGAGAACCATGGCACATCCCCACAGCTCAGGCCTTACTGTTCTCCCACCAACATAGCTCTCCGGCCCCAAGACACACCTCCTGGGGCCCCGCCCCCTGGAGAGCATCTCAGACCACAGGATGCCAGTGTGCGGGCACCCAGCCCCTGGTATCCGGCATCTGGGAAAGGTCACGCTGCCTTTGTCCAAGATCAAACTCCCGCCAAGGCAGAACACAGGTCGGTACCAGCGAGAAGGGCTGGGAAGGGGAGCCCTTGGCCTGCCCAGAGAGGAGGCATGTTGAGCTGTCTGCCTCCATGGCCGCCCCTGGCTGGAAACAGGGTTCTTGCAGAATACTGTCCGGGGAGGGTGGGGGGTGGAGGTGGGGGTAACTGGCATCTTGGGGTTGTGCCCCCGGGGAGATCAAGACCACTGGGTGATGAGAGGGGGGAGAGGGAGGCATTCCTAACCCCTGCTTCTGGCCTTTCCCCCCTGTTTCAGGCCCCGGGATTTCCTCCCCACTCGTTGCTCCCTCCAATCCGGCTGGTGTTTCCCGACGGGCTACCCGTGGGCCCCGCCTGCCCCACGGCACAAGCACCCATGGCAAAGACGGACGCTTCCGGCATAACTGAGGGGCCCTGTCTGGAACCCGCCCTCCTGCCCCAAAGACTGAATGGGGTGTAGTGGGAAATGGGAGGTGGAGGCTGGGCAGGTGGGGGTGACCTGGAGGCAGGAGCTCAGGATCTCAGAAGGCCGGGGCTCCTGAGACCCAGGAATTATGAGGGTGTCCGCCCAACCCTTCCATGTGTGCAGTGCCACCGGGGAGGGAGGTGAGCCCAGGAGGCAGGCCAGGATGACAGCTCCGGGGCCTCCCAGCCTGGGATGATGCCAAAACTCTGCACAAACCTGTGGCCAGACTCCGCCTGGGAAGTGGGGGGAGGGAGTTGTTAGGGGGACAGGGCTCCTGGGCCCACACCTGGGGCAAGGGCCTCCTGGCTGGTGGGAAGGACCAGCAGACGGTTCTCATACGATGGGGGGAGGGAGGGAATGTGGTTTCCGTACTTGGCAGTGGCTTCCTTTTTAACAGTAAAACCCCATTTGGGTCTTGACAGTTGTGTTGGAAACTAGACTTTGTCGGGAACTGGGTGGCCACGGCTGATCTCCCCTGTCCCTCCCTACCCCACGCCCCATCTCACCCTGGCTGGAGGCATGGCACCAACCTACAAACCTGGGGGAAGGGGGTTTCTGTAGACCCTGAGGCCCCTCCCAGGGGTCATGCCTGATCACACCTGCCCAGGCTTCCTCCCAGGAGAGGCCCGGACCACAGAAAGCCTCAGAACCTAAATGGAATGGTTACCCCGGGAAGTCCGGGCTCAGAAATTGCCGAGCTAAAGCCCTCAGCTTCAAGTTGTGAAAACTGGGAATGGAGTCGCCCCTCTTCCCAGCTGACCCAGAACCCTGACTATTCAGACGCTCTTATCTGCCCTGTTCCATGTGGGGGTGGGGAGCCTGGGAAAAGCTAATGAAACACAGGGAACCCCCTGCGTTTTTTCCCAGGGTCTGGTGGTTCAATCATCCCTCGCTTCTCTGAGCATCTGTTTATTTCAACCAAAAGTATCATCTGCAAGTCAGTTGTGGAATCAGCTGCTGAAAACAGGCATCTGGTCTACCACTCCTCACCTGGGCTCCATCGGCCGTCACCAGCACCTGGTTATTCAGGGGGCAGTGTCGGCACCTCCCCTTGCAGCGCCCCTGCCAGTCCCCCGGCCACGATGCCAGGCCTTTATTTCCCAGCCCCGAAGCGCCTGGGACGCCAGGTTCCCCGTCCCCGCCCCTTGGCTACTGGGGGGTCCGGATGAGGGTGTGGTAGACGGGCTTGACGATGAGGTGGAGGTGCAGCGCGTTCTCCACCAGGTACTCGGAGTTGCGCCGCTGCAGGTCCGCGTGCGCCAGGAAGTCGCCGACCTCCTCGCTGCTCTGGTGGAAGCTGTAGGCGTGGCGCACCAGCAGGCGGCCGTGCAGGCGCGCCCCC